GGCGCCCCTTTCCCCCCCCCCCCCAGCCAGTGATCAGAGAACCAGGAGAACTGGGCAGCCTCCCCCCCCCCCCTGCCAGTGATCAGAGAAGCCGGCAGGGCAGGGAAGAAGTGGCCGCCGGCGAAAGCCTGTGTGCACTTCCTGGAGACGAGCCTGGAAGCCAAGAAGGCCTGTGTCCTGCTGTCGCAGAGCCGGCTGTTTGAGGAGCCCGAGCTAACCCAGCGCTGCTGGGAGGTCATTGACGAGCAGGCAGAGATGGCCCTGCAGTCCGAGGGCTTCTGCGAGATCGACTGGCAGACCCTGGAGATCGTCGTCACCCGGGAGGCCCTCAACACCAAGGAGGCGGTGATCTTCAAGGCCGTGCTCAACTGGGCCGAGGCCGAGTGCAAGCGGCAGGGCCTGCTCACCACCCCACGCAACAAGAGGCACGTCCTGGGGCTGGCCCTCTACCTGGTCCGCATTCCGGCCATGACCCTGGAGGAGTTTGCCAACGGCGCTGCCCAGTCGGACATCCTGATGCTGGAGGAGACCCACAACATCTTCCTGTGGTACACGGTGGCCAGCAAGCCCCCGCTTGACTTCCCGCTGAACAAGAGGCGAGGCCTGGCCCCGCAGAGGTGCCACTGCTTCCAGGCCTTGGCCTACCGCAGCAACCAGTGGCGCTACCAGGGGCGCTGCGACAGCATCCAGTTTGCGGTGGACAGGAGGGTGTTTGTGGCAGGGCTGGGCTTGTACGGGTCCAGCTCTGGGAAAGCCGAGTACAGTGTGAAGATCGAGCTCAAGCGCCTGGGGGTGGTCCTCGCCCAGAACCTGACCAGGTTCGTGTCCGACGGCTCCAGCAGCACCTTCCCGGTCTGGTTCGAGCACCCGGTGCAGGTGGAGCAGGACACCTTCTACACGGCCAGCGCCATGCTGGACGGCAGTGAGCTCTGCTACTTCGGGCAGGAGGGCCTGACGGAGGTGCAGTGCGGGAAGGTGACCTCCAGTTCCAGTGTTCCTCCAATAGCACCAACCGCACCGGGGTGCAGGGCGGGAAGATCCCCGAGCTCATCTTCTACGCCTGAGGCCGTGGGCATGTGGGTGCTGGGGGGACAGAGGGCCGCACCCTTTCTCCTTGGCAGGACAGGCTTCAGGACTCCTAACCTTTTGTGAGCAGCTGGCTGTAGCCAGAGGTATAAATGAGACATTTCTACATGGCCAGAGCCCGGTTCTGAATACAGAGGGCTGGGCCTCATCACATCTCCTGCACATTGGGGTGCACACTCAGGTGGAGGGCAGATTTGGAGGTGGAGGGCAGCCCAGACCCCACCAGAGGTGCCCATGCCACCTCTTCAAATCCCTTCCACCACGCATTTCTGTTTCCCTTTTTGTTTGTTGGATTATTCTCCTGCTCCTTCTCCTCACCCCACCACCCTTGGATCATAATGTAAAATTCTGTTACCATGTCAAGAAATTATTAAAAATACAGGTACTTTGAAAAAAAAATACAGGTACTTCTCCGAACACCGGCCGGGGGGCGGGGGGCAGGGAAGAGGTGGCTGCTGGTGGCCGCCTCTTCCCTGCCACCCCCCACCCCCCTGCCGGCCGGTGTTCGAAGAAGTATCTGTATTTTTTTTCAAAGTACCTGTATTTTTAATAATTTCTTGACATGGTAAAAGAATTTTACATTACGATCCAAGGGTGGTGGGGTGAGGAGAAGGAGCAGCAGAACAATCCAACAAACAAAAAGGGAAACAGAAATGCATGGTGGAAGGGATTTGAAGGGTGGGTAGGGGCA